CCATGAAGAACACATCGTTGGGGAGCTTATCAACTACGTACTGCCATCGATGAACAATCTCCGTCGCATTCTGTTCCAGAGTCCTCGTAACAGTGCACGCCGTCACAGTCGCCGGGACGGGGACTAATTTGATTTTCCAGGCGATGACAATCCCAAATGTGTTGCCACCTCCGCCTCGAATTGCCCAGAATAGATCTTCCCCCATGGATGCTCTGTTCAGGATTCTGCCCTTAGCATCAATTACTGTAGCGTCGAGCACGTTATCTGCGGCAAGACCGTACTTCCGCAACAGAGTTCCCCAACCACCGCCGCTAATCTGCCCGCCGAGCCCGACAGTGGGACAAATTCCTGACGGGAACGCCAGAATGGAGCTCTTCTCTGCGATCCTGTAGTAAAGTTCCCCTGTAGTCACCGCGGGCTGGATCCAAGCGGTCTGCTGAGCTAAATCGATGCTTATGTTGCGAAACCTGATGAGATCGAGGAGGAGGAAGGATGAATTCTGATCCGGGGAGGTGTAGGAAAGGCCCTCATAGTCGTGGCCGCCGCTTCGGATCCTGATTTGAAATTTGTGCTTCTTGGAACAGAGGATTGTGGTCTGGATTTGGGGAATGGAATATGGGGTGACGATGAGTACTGGCTTTGGGCTGGCGCTGGTGTTGAACCTGCTGTTTTTGATTGAGAATTGAAGGATGGAGTCATAAGAGGAGTTGATTGGGGTGAAGGTGACTTGGGAAATGGTGGTGTTATAGTTTTGGGAATAAAGGCACTCGAGGATTGATTCTTCATGGCTATGGCGATCAGCTGAGTTGAGGTATGGAAAGGAAATAGCGATGAGGATCAGTAGGATGGGAAGAACTCTCGCCATGATGGTTCAGTTTGGTTCTTTGTGAATTGGAGACGATCCCCTTTTATGTCCAAACTCCCAAGGTGAAGTTCAAATGTCAACGGCCTATGGCGGCCAAGAACTAGGAGTTGAATTAACTTGATGCAAGCTGCCAACTTGCATATAGTCAGCCTTACGAAAAGGGTAACGTGGTTGAATTGACTAGCTGACATGACAATATGGGAAGAATAGCAGTATTTGAAGCGGTCTAAGCTCGAAAACGATGATAAATTTTTCGGTACGACATGTATCACAACATCTACGAAATTGTTATGAACAGATTCAAGAGTTTCTTGTAACAGAGTTGCTAAGGTTTACTGAAAACTTCAAAGTGGTGTAACATTTTCTACATACCTGAATTTCATTATGACGCACCCTTACTAGCATTCGGTATATTACAATTCGCTACTCATCAGCCTGGAAAGCATCAGGAACCGGCGGAATGCTCTGTTCATTACGGAAGAAATCTTCAGGATCCACCGCGGTCTTCACCCGCACCAACCTGTCGAAGTTGTTCTTGAAATACTTCATCCCCCAAATGCTCGCTCTCTCGTACGCCGACTCGCCTCCACCTCCAACACTGACAGCATCGTTCATCCCCAGATCAAGATCTCTCGAATTCATGTACGCACCTCGCGGGTTCTTAGAAACATAAGGCTCCATGAAATGGTAGAGTTCCCTGATCCACCCAATGTTTCTATCCGCGGCTTCCTCGCCACCGTTGTACCAATACATATAGTACTGGATCTTGTAAATGTTACCAGCTCTATGCGGGTATGGCACGCTGGATTCCGGGATCCGGCTCATTTTACCGCCGTGAGGCATGATCTCGAACGAAATCGCCCCGTCCTCCACTTCAGAAAACCTCTCCAATATCTTCTCCAACTCTGCTTCCGGAATTGGGGTTTGAACGTAGTCCGATTTCGCTTTGAACCTGCCAGTTTTGGAAATGGTGATGCTCCTGTTCCGCAATACTTCTAAGGAACCATTGATTGGAAAATCGGCAGAGTAGAGGATCGACTGGATCCAGCTCATTTCGATGCAATCCGATCTTGAAACGCCCAATTCAGGAAACCTCTGTTCCAACAGGGGAAGCAGAGCATCTGTTTTCCCCAGGAACAACGAATCAAACGAAGCTAGAATCGTGCCGTTGTCTCTGCTTAGAGAAGCCATGACGATTAGATCGTCTGGGAGCTTGTCGACCACGTGCTGCCACCGGTGGAATAACTCGATTCCCTTGTGCTGAGCAGTTCTCGACGCTGTAAACAGAGTCACCGTGGGAGGAACGGAAACCAAGCTCAGTTTCCACGCTACGACGATCCCGAAAGTATTTCCTCCACCTCCGCGGATTGCCCAGAACAAATCCTCCCCCATGGAAGCTCGATCGAGGATTCTACCTTCCACGTCGACCACTTGCGCATCCACCACGTTGTCTGCTGCGATGCCGTGTTTGCGTAGTAGGGAGCCGTACCCTCCGCCGCTGATGTGGCCGCCGAGACCCACCGTCGGCCACATTCCCGCGGGGAAGGCTAGCGTTCTGCTCTCGGCGGCTATGGCGTAGTAGAGCTCTCCTAAGGTGGCTCCTGCTTGTGCCCAAGCGGTCTTTGAGGGCACGTCCACTTGGATGGCTCGGAGGTTGCGGAGGTCTAGGACGAGGAAAGTAAGGGACGGGGAGATGGTGGAGTAGGAAAGGCCTTCGTAATCGTGGCCGCCGCTTCGAACTCTGATCTGAATCCTGTGTGCTCTCGAGCAGCGGATTGCGGATTCGATGTGTGAGATTTGTCGGGGTGTGAATATCAGCAATGGCTTTGGGGTGGCAGAGGTGTCGAACCTCGGGTTTCGAATGGAGGATTCGAGCAAGGACGAGAAGGAAGAGTTGGCTCTAGTGTAGACGATGCTTGTGATGTTCGAATCATGGAATTCGAGGCATTGCAGGAATTCCTCGTAAGGTTGGGATGAAGTTACGCCCAAGAGTAACACGAAGAGGGCAACGAGAATTGGAAAGCTTGGATGAGCAGTATCCATGTTTTCGTTTTACTACAGAACTTGGATTGATTGTAATCTTGGAGCAATGATTATATAATCTGCATCACTGTTACAGTGTTTGCAGGTGACTCTGTTCTAGAAGTAGATGGTTATTACTTGTGGGTTGACAGCATTTCTTGGTCAGAATAAGCTTTCTGTGATGTTGTAATTTCAGGCACTCAAATGCAGCTATGGAGGCACCAAGCTGAAACCAGGGTAGTTGGTAGAGCAGCTCGACCAGAATCAGAGACTTGCAGGCATGGATAATGCATTAGATTATTACTACATCGCAGCTTACCCTCTCCGACAAGTTCAAACAATATGGCGTTGGACTTGGTCAGTAACATGATCTAGCGAAGTAAGCAACAACACCTCAAACCAACCAAGAAAACACAGAACAGGTCTGCAGTCTACTGAATCTATGAAGACGTCCTCAATTCCGGGCTGCATACGGAGTACTAAACCTGGTGGGGTTGCTAACCAATTTGGTTACCCAATCAGCTTACATGCAAAAGTTTAGGCATTGAACTTTGAAATCTGATTGGCAAAAGCTTGCTTGCTATCGCTTCGCACATTAGAAAAATAAATATTTTAAAGATTAATAATTTTTTTATTTACAATAACATATAGTCGATGAACTTGCATAAGTTAGAATGACCATCGAATATATTATTTATGTTTGTATGATTAGAATGACGTACGTTAACCTTACGGTACACTCATATGTTTTGTTATTTAAAGCATGAATTAATCGGAGTTTGAGGTATGATACAACAACACATATTTCATTATTTTCTTATGGCAAAAGCTAGCTTATCCTGATTGGTCAAAATATATGAAATGGATAGAATAAATGTCAATGCTGGGACACAATCAAAAGAGGGTGTGACTGTATCAGGATCCTGAATGGTGACATCAAGATAATTATTGAAGACTCGTTGATTTCTATACCAGTTCAAATTGAAGGATGGTTTTGGCAATGCATCTTACATGCTGTTCTCTGTCAAATGTGGTTGCAGCGTAACCAGCGCATCTTCCATGACTTAAAGACACCTGCATGTATTATTGCTCGTAACTCTGCTAGAGCTGCAATCTCCTGGACAATCGCTCGAGACAAAAATCACCAAGAGTCAGGGTGCTTCCTGGATTGCTGACTTTCTAGATAGGATTTGAGTCCCATTTTCTCTCTCTCTTTTTTTTTGGCAGGAGCAGCCTGATTTGCCTAGCAATTTTCTTCTTTTTTTTTTCTTTTTTTTTTTTTTTTCCGTTTCTTCACCTTCAAGCGGGCTCTTGCTCACTCTGCTTGCGGCTTCGGTTGGATTCCTTGTTGTCCGCTGCTTACTTTTTGCTGTGTTTTTTTTTTTCTTTCTTTCTTCGATTCAGCTCTTCTGAATCCTTTTCTTTGTACACTCTGTGTTTTTTTTCTTTTCATTTGAATGCAATCATCATTATAAAAATAGTCTTTCCCTCATATGCGTGTTTGGCGCCGAAGCAAGCAAATTCCTGAGCTTCATGATAACGAGGCGTGACATTGAGGTAGATCCGAAGCAAATCACGGCGGTGCAAAAACTACGCGCGCCCAGAAGCACCAACGAGATGCAGTCCCTAAACGGCAAGTTGGCCGCGCTAGGGAGGTTTATACCAAGATCCGCCGACAAATGCGCCCTCTTTTCCAAACACTGAAGAGCGGGACAAAGTTCGTGTAGACACCACATTTTTTCCGGAGCAACTGTCTTACCCAGAATTGAAAAAGAAACCCTGGTTAAAATTCAAAGCGACGACTTGACGTAGAGGTTTGGATATAATTGGTTGAGATTGCTACTTAACTCAAAGGGACGACTTGACGTAGAGGTTTGGATATAATTGGTTGAGATTTGCAGTAGCAAATCAATAAGTATCAATGATTTCTAAGTTGCTTTTATTTTATCATAAATGTTTTAAAATGGTCTCGGATGAGGTAGAATAGAACAAATGGTAAATACCTAATGTTACGGTCATTGTCCCAATTGAAAATGATTTAGTCGAAGGCTCAAATTTGATTTAGATTGAAGTGGACGAATGCTCGAATTTGATTTAGATTGAAGTGAATTTGGTTTGGAAGAATCACTTGAATTTTATTACACTTTCGCATTGCATTATAATAATTATCTAAAAGTAAAGGCTGGTGGCATAAATTATCACATGTATAATTACAAATTACACTAGGTAATTGTACATTTGAAAGAGGAATCAAGGAAAAGAAAATTGAAAATAAGACAAGAGGGAAAATCCTTTTCTTTTTGGCACCACAACTCATTTTTAGTCCGACGACCTCCTTAGGCATCATTTGAGCCAAAACAAATAAAGTACCTGCAAAGCAAAAAGAGAGGAATTAATTAGTTCAAGTCCAAACCATAAACCCAATTCAGGCCCATAATTTTTGGCCCAGTCCAATCTGGTCAATCAATCTTGTCCAGCTCGGTCAACTCTGGTCAACCCAATCAACCAAACCCATCATCCTTATCTTATCTAAAGGAGCAGCAGAAATTACCGCCACCTCTTGAAAGGAGCAATTCGGCCACTTCCTCCAAAGACCAACAAGAAATTGTCATCACAATGGGTGGATTAGGCCACCACTTCAAGATCAAATGAGGATCAGCCAACACAAAAGGAACAGTAAAATCTTATCACATATAAGGGGGTTTCTTACCCCAAACAGAAGGAGGATTTTGGGGAAAAAGTGCAGAGAAAGGAAAGAACTCAAACACTATAGAGACAGACAGAGCATTAAACACTAAAGGGGCAGACAAGGAGCATTAAGAAGCACAAATGGGGCAGACAACAAAAAGCCATCACCATCACCATCTAACGACAAAACTAGGTTGGTAACTCCACACCCCACCATTCATGTATATGCATATCTCATCCATACATCAACATAGAAGCAAAAACCATTTTGGTGGGGAAGTGTATGACTATTAAGAGATAGTAGTATTAGTAGATCAGAACCCAAATAAGAAGAACAAAGAAGGGAACCGACCTTAAGCGGAGGGAAACATCGGCGAGTTCGCTGTTTCGTCTCCGTCGTCAAGCTCGTCGCCGATAGGCCTCTTGCCGGGACGTCAGCAGCTTTCGTTTCTCCTTTCCATTGGAAGAACCAGAACGAAAATATAGGGAAAAAAATGGGGTTAAGATCCCGATCTAGTACATAATCAATTAAAAATGAACACGCATAGGAAAAAGGAGCTTACCATAGGGTATGATCTCGTCGCCGTCTCTGTTCCAACTAGAAAGGGTAGATCGAGAGTAATAGAAAGGCAAATCGAGAATTCCTCTCGACTTTGGACCAGTTTTTCCGGAAATAAAAAAACAAGAAATAGGAATTAGAATCTTGAAAACCCTAAATCAGATTCAAAAATAGCATTATAGTACGAACCAAAAGGAAACGAACCTTAAAAACTCCAATCTTGTCGTCACTGGTGGTGCATGTCGCAATCGTCGCCGACGATCCTGCTACCATCGTCGCCCTAGTAGCTCGAACGGAACAAGAGGGGGGGAGAGAGAGCGAGAGACAAAATGAGAGATCAGTCTGTTCTCAAATCGATTTTGGCCGACGGCCTGGGAAGAGGAGAAAATCCGCGATGGTTTCATTTTTTTTCTGAGCGAGTACAGGGAAGAAGAGAACGAGAGAGGGTAACGATGAGAGTGGCGGCCGACTTAGGTTTAGGATAGAATAGGGTCTTGTTTTCGTCTTAAGAGACGAATATATACCTAATCTTTCAAAATGACTGGAATACCCTTAGGGTTTCACTGAAATTACACACCCCTGCCACCGCCCTTTTGTGTAATTATCAGACTGCCCTTCCTTAAAAAAAGGAAGAAAAAAAGGCCGAGTTGGGTGTCAAACCCATGTCCTCGCACCTCTTCAACTAGTTTAGTCACGCGACTAAACTGATTGGGCTGCAGGCCTATCACGCATTAAGATAACAACCCCAAACAATTTTTATGTTACTATGCTTAAATCGAAATTAGGTTAGACTAATTTTTATCTTATACATTAAAACTTTTCTTAACAACTAAAATTTCTATGTTTTATCGTCATCAAACCATAATAGTCTATCTAAATTTTATGAACAAGATTCTTAATACGAAAGTCACGATCAGTAGAACGTGATAACAAAGAAAATTACTATCAGAACTATCAAAGTTATAATAATTCGTTAATACGAAAAATACGATCAGTAAAACGTGGTAAAAAGAGTTATATTTAAAATTCTCAAAGTTTTAACGAACAACGTGGACTTTGATCCCGTATTACGGGTACGTAGGCAACCGATAAGGTTTAAGTCCAACTAACCAATTAACTTTATCTTTAAATTGTACGTAAGTGGACGTATAATTAAATTACAAATAATACGATAAAATTATTTAACAATCCCGTTCGACCCCAAAAATACATATTTACTAAAATACACCCAACCTGTATAAACTTATCAAACTTAAGTAGTACCGATTTTGGGCGTTGTGGGGTGTGATTTCACTTCCCCACACGTAATAGTACTCCCGAGAAGGATCGGTAGAAATAGGAGAATGAGATGAGAGATTACCTTCTTCGTCGATGACGACCTCGATCTCCGTATTGGCATCGCTACTGGCCATTGAAGCAACGAATCGAAGACACACAGGATAAATAAGGTCGCAAACGAAGGAGAGGAATCTCAGAGATGAGCTTTCTTTCGGAGAAAATACGAAGGCTTTTGGAAAAAGTTATTCCCAAAAACCTGAGAAGGCCAATTTATAGCCCTGAAGTGAGAGAACGGAATGGGCGAAAACACCTCGAGAAGAGCAAATGTCACATCGACATTTTGAATTTCAAAATTCAAAATATCAAGGCACAACTGCCACAACAAGTGAACAAGAAGCTGCCACGTGGATAAGCAACACCAAAAGGCGCGAGGGGGGCAACCATCTGTATCACAGAGACAAGGTGGCATCGCTCACTACGTACGCGCACCGCCTAGAGGGCAGGATACCCCAGCAGATAGAAAAACTACATCGCGGAACAGAATTTAAAAAAAAAAGAAGAAGGGAAAAGCCAATTCCAAATTGAAGAAGACCCGCGGAACATATCTTCAGCATGCAACGAACAAGAAGAAAATAGCGCTCGAGCTATTGCGCGCTTACACGACTCATACCAGGTGACATTCGCAAAATACCCCCTGATGGGGGGCAATTGTTGGGGGCATAGCTCGGGCTCGAGTGCGTCCGCCAACACATCAGAAGATGCACAACACTCCACTGGTCATTCCGCGCCATCCCATATGTCATGCTTGCTCTATGTAAACACGACGTGCGTAGTACTCGCTGCGCGGACTAAATCGCCTTTCCCGGGAACTCCGCGAAAAGGGAAAGCCAAGACGACGCCGTAGAGCACACCCCGACGCTCAACTCGCAGAAAATCTCCCGCGACTCGCACCCACGAGACCAACGGGCCTGCCGAACGTGAAGACCAAGACGACATCGTATACCTGACATATGTTCACTTCTTGATTATAGACCTAATCGTACCCTAGTTATCAGCGGCGGATCCAGGATATAGAAGAGCACTGGGCCGCATTCGAGCATAAAATTAGATATCGTAAACAAAAAAAATTATAGTTTTCATTACAATGTCAATTATACGCGACGGTCTTTTAACTTAGCAAATTCGTCAATAATTGAGACTTCATCCATACCAATAACATACTCTCTCTCAAAGAAAATAGTTAAGCAATCAGCAAGAAATTCATCGCCCATCTTGTTGCGCAAATTAGTCTTCACATGTTTCATTGCTGAAAAGGATCTCTCCATAGTAGCCGTTGAAACAGACAATGTCAACACTAGACGAATCAATCGACAAATCAATTTGTACCGTGTGTCCATCCCTGTTTCCACCAGCTTCTCTAGTGATTTTGCAAGGGAAGAAACATCATATTCCTGACTATGAACCACATGGTCGGCATAATATCCTAGCTCATTCTTCAAACAATTCATCTCATTTCCTTCAAAGTCTCGAGGATAAAACTCTTCAGCAAGTTTGTAAATATTTTCTTCATCCAAAGACCGAAAAGAACTTTTAGGGTCTAGTGCATCACTCAACTGTAGCAATCTGACTAATGACTCATTGAGTCTTGAATTCAATGTTTCCAACTGAAGATCTATGCATTGATTAAAGTGTTCAAAATGGTAGCGGTGCTCAAGAGTTGTTTGCTTCTCACCACGTCCAAGTATAGCATTCATATTAGGTACCTCTATGGCTTGTTTTGAGCAAAAAGATTTTACCTCTTGGAGTAGCTTGTCCCATCCTTCATCCCGTAGCTTTTGAAGTTTAACTTTTTCCAAGAATCTGTTGACATTGTAGCTGCAGTTGGATTCGTTTCCATGGAAACGAATCCAACTGCAGCTACAATGTCAACAGATTCTTGTTGAAATGCTTGACAAAGAAATTTTGTGATATCCTTAATCCCTTTCATCAAGTGAAGATTGAACACAAACTCAAAATTCTTGATATTTTTTGAAGCACCTCTGGCTTGACTCGTTATCTCCTTCTTTAGAACGACAAAGATCCTCTAGCACTACACATGTTGGATTGAACATGTTTATAATTCTCAATATGGAATGATAATGAGATCCCCAACGAGTTAGCCCCGAACACTTTAAGGATGTCATTTGATTAGCTCCTTGTCCAGATTGAATTTCTCCAGCATCCAACATAACATCAAGATCTTTTTTGTGAATTTCTTGCAATTCCGTGATCCGTTTAGGAGAAGCCTTCACAACATTTATGATACAATCCAATAAGGAAAAGAAATCCCATATAGGATCACATACCTTTGCAGAAGTAATCAATGCCAACTGTAATATGTGAGCAAAACAGTGGACAAAATAGGCATATGGGCAATCTCTAAGAATTAATGCCTTGACTCCATTAAACTGTCCTGACATATTACTAGCACCATCAAATCCTTGACCTCTCAATTTTTCAATTTGAAGGTCATACTAAGAGAGAACGTCACAAATAGCTTGTTTAAGTGTTTCTGCAGAAGTTCCAGCTACACTCTTGAGAGCAAAAAAGCGTTCAGTTACTATACCAGAAGAACTGACATACCTCAAAATAATAGACATATGTTCCCTTCCTGCTTCATCAACTGCTTCATCAACAAGAATAGAGAAACAAGAATCTCCCAATCTCCTCACGTATCTTACAACGCACTCTATTTGCTATGATTCCCAATATCTCCTTCTGAATGCTTAGTGAAGTGTATTTCGCATTCCCTGGTGCGCTACGAAGAACTACACTATTGATTTGATCATTCAACTTCGATGCAAAACCAATCCAAGCTAGAACATTCCCCGGATTCAAAGAATCGTCAGATTCATTATGCCCTCTAAAAGAACTTTCTTGTAAAGCCAACTGTTTGACAACCATAATTGTTGTTTTCAACCGTAATCGATGCTTTAGAACTTCTTCTCCACCAATTCTGTGCATCACTTTATCAATATGACCGGAGGGTTTCATCAAGGCATCAGTCGCTGCAACATATTTATTATGGCTTGAAGAAGCCGATGAACCAACATGAAGAAGGAACACACATTTCTTACCATGAACCCTCTTCCAATTATCAAATCCATCCTGCACTAGTGCATAAGTTTGATTCCCATTCATCTTGTTTCTAAACAAAAAACATGGGAAACAATATGCTTTATGTGTTGTAGGAGAATACTCCAACAAATCAAATTGTGAATACCATGCTTCTTGAAAGTGACGAAGTTTATCTGGATATTCTCGTGGCTTATAGTATGTGAGTTTAGGTTGATAAGCCTGGTGTATTACGTATTTTCTCCTAACCTCATCTCTCAACTCAAGAGCCCAATCACATATTTGTTTCCTCTTTCCTAGATCTCTTTCAATTTCAACTCCACTATCAGATGATGGAAGTAGATTACTGGATACAGGAGAAGTACATGATTCATTCTGAACTGGAGGGGAAGATGGTTGACCTTCATTAGGATAGACTTCTTCGGTCTGACATGTTTCAGATTCCTTACGTTTATAGTAAGAAAACAATGTTGTTTTCTCCTTTTTATTTGGTGGTTGAGAAGATGTCATGATGAAATATCTTGAAATCTGCATAATCAATTAAACATATACACAACGCAGTCAAAAACTAGTTCTAAGTAATAAAGTAAATTTGGATACAAATTCTAACGAGTATGATATATTAGAAATCCTAATATGAAATTCTATGTTAATGGCTTAATACATAATTGCACTGTACAAACTTAGTTTCTAAGTAAATAAGACTAACCGAGACCAATTACTTGTTGCTGTTGTCGTATACTGTGAATGGAATAAGGGATTGGGCGGAACTTGACTGGCGCCGTTGCGGAGAAAGAACGAAGGTCAGGGGAGGGGATCGTCGGCGCCGGGTCAGAGTCTCGGGGAGGCGGGGAGCAGCGAGCAGGTATGTTCGTTTTCCCTTTTATTTTTTTGTCCCATACTTGCAGGGAAAGGCTAAAGAGGGCGTGAGGTTATTTGGGAATTGGGATTTGGGGCTGGGTCTTGGGAGGGTTTGTATCTTTGTATTGGGTCTTGGGGCTATGCCCAAATAATACTATAGTATAATTATGATGGTTTGATGTTTGAGTTGGGTCTTGGGGAGGCAGGGAGGGCTGGGCCCGGGCCCAGTGTGGCCCCCCTGTATCCGCCGATGCTAGTTATACGTCTTGTCCAAATGTCTTGTCACCCGAAATCCTCACCCATCGAGGGGAGCCTTTAAATAGTGCATTTACCCTGGCGGGTGAGGGGATCCATTTTCTCTTTCTCACTCTAAGAATTCAAGAAGTTTCTCTCTCTAAAACTCTCTCCTTGTCTCACTTGATCTCCACTTCTTTCTAAGTGTTCGAGCGGGTCCCATACTCCTCACTCGCACCCCAACCTCACCGTGTCTCACTCCTACTCTCAGTTAGACATAAACAAATAGTATTTTATTATGTTTGGATAATATAAAAGATCTGAAAAAATGTTTGGATAAAAAATAGACATTAGCCTAACTTTAATAGATTGAACACACCAATTTTAGAATTAGCACCAATGAAAGTTAATAAGAAAAGAAACAAAAGAAAAACAAAAAATGCTGGAAAGAAACTCAAATCAGTCCTGAAGCTGCGCTGTTGCTGCTTCTCTCCCTATCCGAGGTCGATTTCCTTTGTTCTTCAGCATAAGGAACACGCGGTCAGATGGGTGAGGAAATTGGGCGATCATGTAATCACAACACCAAATTATACTCTGCCCGTCATCCTGACAAAAGGAGGCACACTCTATTCATTCCTGAAGAAATTAGAGGGATCAATGGCGGCTTTCACACGAGCCAACCTCTCAAAATTATGCTTGAAATACTGCTCGCCCCAAACTCTTGCCTGTTCATAGGCTGTACTCCCCGTTGGATCATTCTTTCCCAAGTCCAGATCCCTGGAGTTGGGGTACGCGCCTCTTGGGTTGTTGGAAACGTACGGCGTCATAAATTTATAAAGCCCTTTTATCCAGTCCAATTGTCTTTTCTCTACTTCCTTCCCTTCTCCAGACCAGACCGCATAATACTGGATTTTGAATATGATACCAGATCTGTGCGGGTACGGGATGCTGGAATCTGAGATTCGGCTGATTTCCCCGTCGTGGGGAAAGATCTGCATCAGCGGCGGTCCCAGTTCCACTTGGTAAAACCTCTTCCAAATCCCCTGCAACGCCTTGGCCGGGAGCGTCCTCTGCACGTAGTCGGATTTCGCTTTCACTTTGTCGAATTGGACAGGGGAGCTGCTCCTGCTGTTGAGTAATTCGTGATAGGAGGTTTTATTTGGGTACCCAGCGAAGTAGAGGGCTGGCTCAATCCAGGTCATCTCGGTACATTCCTGTTGTGTCAGTTCCAGCTCCGAAAAGCTCTGTTTCATCACCATCAGCAGGGTCTCTGCTTCCCCCAGATACAGACCCTGGAACACAGCTTCTATTGTGGTTTGCCCTTGGGAAGCGGTGGAACGAATTCTGTTCAGCATCAGCGTGATCATGAGTTCGTCAGGGAGCTTATCCGCCACGTGCTGGTACCTGTCCACGACTTTCGTCACGTTTCGTTCCGAGGTTTTGGAAATCGTGAACCCCGTCAGCTGGGCGGGGACAGGGACTAAGTTCAATTTCCAGGAGACGATGATTCTGTAGGTGTTCCCTCCGCCGCTGCGAATCGCCCAGATAACGTCTTCCCCCATGGCGGCTCTGTCCAGGACTCTGCCGTCCACGTCCACCAAGTGGGCGTCAAGGATATTATCCGCAGCCATCCCGTACTTCCTCAGCATCATTTTGTACCCTCCACCGCTGATCTGCCCGCCGACACCGACGGATGGGCAGATCCCTGCATGGAATGCTAGTGTCTCGCTGGCAGAGGCAATACTATGGTAGACTTCATCGAGAACGGCTCCCGCTTGGACCCAGGACGACTTGGTTGGGACGTCCACGGTCACGTTTCGGAGTTTGATCAAGTCGATCAGGAGAAACGGCTGAGAGGGAGCAGAGGAAACGTAGGACATGCCTTCGAAATTGTAAGTGTTGTGGTATATGATCCACAATTGAACCTCTCCCAACAACTCGAGTTATTGGGATCAACTGGTTCTTGACATGGTATCAGAGCCTTCTGTGACCAAGAGGTCTTGTGTTCGATTCCCGATGACCCCCATTTGTTATGCACATGGTTTTCTTGTCTTCAAACCTGTGCAAACTTCAAGCCCTTGTGAGTGGCTTTCGTTTGAGGGGGCGTGTAAGTGTTGTGGTATATGATCCACGATTGAACCTCTCCCAACAACTCGAGTTATTGGGATCAATTTAGAACAAGAAAGCCTGTGTCTCGTTTATTATGCTTAGGAGTATATATACACAATTATAGGTATGGAGCTATGCTCTCTACAACTGTGAATGGTGATGGAGCTAGCTCACAAGGTATGGAGCATTACAGAGCTACATTAGCAGTTAATGTTATCTGTCTGCTCATTAATGGTATCTATCTTTGGAATCAATAATTAACACTCCCCCTCAAACTCAAGATGGCGGATCTATGGATGTTATCTTTAGTTTGGATAGAAGATCATGAAAGCGAGATGGAAAGTGACTTTTGGTAAAGACATCTGCAGTCTGATGCTCAGATGATACGGGAATCAACCTTAGCGTGTTGTCACGTAAATGGTGACGAACTAGATGACAATCGATCTCAATATGTTTTGTGCGCTCATGGAAGACATCATTGTGAGAAATCTGTATTGCACTTCGGTTGTTGCAGTAGAGTGAGGTGGCAGAAGTTTGTGGAACAGTCAAGTCATCAAGAAGCCAACGAACCCATAACAATTCAGTTGTGGTGTCAGCAAGAGCACGATACTCAGCTTCTTTACTCGAGCGAGAAACAACCTTTTGTTTCTTGTTACGCCAAGAGATGAGAGATGAGCCAAGGAAGAAGCAAAAACCAGTGGTTGATCTTCGATCGGTCGGATCACCAGCCCAATCAGCATCTGAGTGGGCACAAAGCTCAAGGGAAGACGAGGCAGAGAAGTACAAACCATGATGAACGGTTCCCTTGATATATCGAAGAATACGAAGCACAGCAGCATAATGTGTAGAGCAAGGTGATGCCATGAATTGACTAACAAGATGCACTGCATAAGCTATATTTGGACGATTGACATTTAAATAAATAAGGCTCCCGACAAGTTGTCTGTAAAGTGTAGGATCATCGAGTAGAGGTCCATCGCCAGGAGAAAGCTTGACATTGGGCTCAAGAGGAGTAGAAGCTGTCTTTGAATCTGTAAGGTGTGCTCGAGAGAGTAACTCAGATGCATATTTAACTTGGGATAGTGAATAACTACCATCATCTGTCGGTGTGACCTCTAAGCCCATAAAGTACCGAATAGAACCAAGATCCTTCATGTCAAAGTTGTTGCTAAGAAACTGTTGAAGATCTGCAATGCCACTTAGATCATCACCAGTGATTATCATATCATCAACATATAAAAGAAGGATAATGATGCCTTGAGAAGTTCGGCGAATAAATAGAGTTGGGTCATATGCACTAGAAGTGAATTCTGATGATTGTAAAGTGCGGCTAAATGTATCAAACCAAGCACGTGGTGCTTGTTTAAGCCCATATAAAGCTCGTCGAAGACGACAAACTTTACCAGATGGACATGGATATCCAGGAGGAGGCTTCATATAAATTTCCTCTTGTAGTTCGCCATGAAGAAATGCATTTTTGACATCCATTTGGAGAAGTTTCCATCGACGAACAACTGCAACTACTGATAAAATGCGAAAGGATGTGAGTCGAGCAACAGGAGCAAATGTTTCTTCATAATCAATGCCATATTCTTGAGTGTATCCTTTGGCGACTACTCGTGCCTTGTATCTTTCAATAGAGCCATCAGCATGGGTTTTGATTTTGTAAACCCACTTGGCTCCTATAAGAGTCTTTCCAGGTGGTAAGCAAACTAGATCCCAAGTATGAGTTTTATCAAGAGCTGCATTCTCTTCTGCCATTGCTTTCTGCCAAAGAGGGTTAGTACTAGCTTCCTTATAGGTAGAAGGTTCATAGAGAGAGGTGGAGTAACAATGATAATCATGAAGCCGAACATTGGGAACGCGATTACGAATAGGACGAGAAGAAGTACCTTCTTGTGCAGGATCCTCAGGTAGGACATAGTCAGAGGGAGAAGCCGTGGGTGGAGCCAGAGGAGCACTATCAGCTGGTGGTGTGACTGATGAATCGGGTGAGGGGTGATTTATGAGGGTTGACTCGGTGGTAGAATTAGGTGAAACATCAGAAGGAAATAAATCTATAGATGGATCACAGAAAAAACTAGATGTATCAGCACGAAATGGAGATAGTGATGAAAACATAGTGTTCTCCCAAAAAATTACGTGACGAGATACACGTAGTGGATTGGATATTGGATCCCAGCAACGATGCCCTTTATGTTCAATCCCATAACCAAGAAAACAACAAAGACGAGCACGAGGTTGAATGTTTGTACGCTCGTGAGGAGGTAAAAGAACAAAACAAGCAGAACCAAAGATTTTGAGGTGACTGTAAGATGGGGGTGTACCATAGAGACGTTCATAATGTAACACCCTACCCTATACGTATTACCTAATCATATTGTTCATACAATTGCAGCGGAAATAATCTCGGGTGTTACATTAATTATAAAATTTACCCAAATAAAATTTCGACATGAATTACTCGCGTAATGGGCTAACGGTTCTTGTAACTAAATCCTGCACAATAATTTATTTGAATCCCTGCATCCATAGACATACACATATACCCATAACCATATACATTGGCTTTCATAGCCATAGTCACAGTTTTCATACTCCACAATTGCATATCATACTTATACATACCATAATCGTCACAACTTACACAACCACACAAATATACACATATCATCAACTTTCCACACCAATGGATATCTCACACTACATCAGAAGCTAATATGCACATGAAAAATGTTCTGAAAACATTTTTACAAAAAGGTGTGGATCACTGGCCAAAATCCCTAGTAGTAGTCCAAGCACATAATAGTTGAAGACAATACCTCATTCTGCCTTCAACTCCTCGTTCTGCTCACACCTATGTACTTGCTACTGCTACTGCTGATGATCTGCTTACACATAGCATAAGCAGAGAAAAAGGATGAAAGAGGGTCAGCTCATGGCTGAGTGAGACAATCATTGCATTGTGAGTTCATAACAAAGCATACCCTTACCATACATCTAGCAATCAAGCCAAAACACTAGGATCGGACCTCAGCCATCCTCATATCCCAATAGACAAAAGACTCAACCACCTTGACTTATGCATATGCGTCTTATCATGTTTTACTTATAGGCGCCTGGCTACTCCCATGCTAATAACTCTCCCGGGAAACATACCCCACATCCCGTCGGATGTAGTCATACATACCCCAACATCCCGTCGGATGTGGTCATACATACCCCACACCACTATGGGTGTAGTCATACCCCGACACCGCTTTGGGTGTGGTCATATCTCGTAAGAAATCTTCAGTCACCACCACATGAGAGGTGTGACTATCATACATATCATAATAGAGTAATAGCATAGGAGCCCTAATTACTATGTAGTTGACCGTGAGACCACAACACTCATATTTGGTATCCTTATACATGATTCATATCTCATCTTGCTTAATCATAATTCGTTACTTGCACATGTACTTGACCTGGCCATAATTGGCTCAACATAGGTAAATCAGGAGTCGTATAATTGCACTTCCTCGGGATAAACCCTCGTGCAAGTCATCCTCCTTAGAACATCATAATATCACACTGGGAAGTTTATTTCTCCCACTTGTGAATCCAAATACAACAATCATGAAAAATCATATCCACAATTAAACCCACATCTGGCAGCATATATGCATTCATCAACATAAACAAGGTCCATATCGATTAGGGAAATTCAATAATATCATATAGCAGTCCAGGGTTCAACATATAGCACAAAAGTTCATACACCCCTAATCATGCCATTCTAGTTCACCTAGGTCAATTCTAAGCATCAATATAATTATCGTGATACGACAAACCCGGTATGCCGTGCTAATCCCTCACCAGTTCTGGTCGTTCAAACACCGGTTTTAGCCTCCCGAACTAAATTTCACTTTTCTCAAACAAACTCAGAATCAAAATCCGAGATTGTCCTAATATCCCCTGCAGTATCCCCGTCAATGTTAGTACTAAGCTCTGGATCAAATTCTCGATAAAGACACATCAAACCCTGACCGGAGCTAAATTCAGCGATCCCGGCTCCGACCTAAATAATAGCCAAAATTCATGGATTAGAACCAGAGGATTAATTACCTCGCTGCAGGAAGCTCATATACGAATTCTGGGCTCCATCCGACTTCCGGATACTCCGAAACCCTAATTCCATCTATCGAAAAACTAAGGAATTGTTAAGCCAAAACTTCGCTATAAGGCTGTAAATGGGTCAATTAAGCAATAAGAAGGTAAGACGTGACAACTACACAAAATTTCAGATCACCTAACCTCGAGAATCAAGCTTGCAGTTCCTTTCGAACCCTCCCCTGCGCGCTCTGTATTTGGTTCGGTTTCTCTACCTACCGAGTTTGGGAATAATGGGGAGAAAATGATTTGGGCACATTTTATATGTAATAAGCGCCCAACCGCTTTACTTTCCCTTTACTCGTCTCTTTGCGACACCTAGGCGGGTGTATGACTAACTAATATATATATATATATATATATATATATGGTGCCTTCTACGGTACCCCGGGTGAAATCCGGGGTACCGCATACCTTGAGTATGAAAAATCTATCTAGACCCCGAATTAGCAGGATTTTTGGGCATGATACTATACCCTAACCCTTAATGAGTGAACCCTAGGCCCTAATTATCTAAATCATAAACTATAAACCGTAAGATGGTGCATTGATTTTTTGCCTATATTTGGATGAATCATAACCGTCGATTATTGTTTCCAATTAAATTGATCTTGGG